CCCAAAGCATTTAGAAACAAGGAGAGCAAATATTGAGGTGAGGCAACAACACTGGTTTCACAGTTTCTGCCTATATTACATAAAAAAAATATTTCCTTTTTCATTTTAAATGCTGCCCAGTCCTTCCCTTGGGCCCTGCTCAGCCCAGAAGGATGAACACCCTTCCCCAGGCAGCTCTCTAGGGTCCTGCTCTGTTTTCTGCCACAGGAAACCACCTCTTTCGCAAACACAGATATTTTCATCCAAATAAAGGGCAGTGGGTTGGAATATTGTTAAAAAGAATCCAGCTGCGAGGCAGAAATGTAAAAGCGGTGAAAAGCACCGCTCTTTTTTCACAGCTTGGGGTGAGAACGGCTCTGAAAAAACGCAGCAGAGTCATCCGTGGGGAGCCTCTGCCATCTGCTGGCACCGAGTCCTGCGGCAGCGCCTCGGAGAGACTGCCAGCGAACAGACAGGAGGGGAAACGGGAGGGTTTGAAGTCCCTAAACCCTTTTTTCTGCGAGAAACATCCCCTGAAACATCAAAAATACTGAGGCCATAGAAAGGTTTATGGTGGGAGAGACCTAAAAAATCATCCAGTTCCACGCCCCTGCCATGGTTCCACCTGCCTTTTTCTGCAAGAATCACCTGAAACAGCAAAAATACTGAGGCCATAGAAAGGTTTATGGTGGGAGAGACCTAAAAAATCATCCAGTTCCACGCCCCTGCCATGGTTCCACCTGCCTTTTTCTGCAAGAATCACCTGAAGCATCAAAAATGCTGAGGCCATAGAAAGGTTTATTTTGGGAGGAACCTAAAAAATCCTCCAGTTCCACGTCCCTGCCGTGGTTCCACCTGCCCAGGTTGCTCCAAGCCCCATCCAGCCTGGCCTTGGACATTTCCAGGGATCCAGGGACAGCCCCAGCTGCTCTGGGCACCTGTGCCAGGCCTTCAGCACCTCGATAGCAAAGGATTCTCTCCTCAAGATTCCAAGCAGGTGGAGACCCCCCGGTTTTCAGCCAGGGATTTGTACAAAGTTATGAATTTAACACCTCTGCGCGAGGATTAAAGGTTAAAGGCTTATCAAGTTTAAAGCCTTCTTTGCCCAGAGAGGTTTGTACTCCCCGTGGGAGCAGCACAGCCAGTGGGAGCTGAAAAGGTGCAAATGGAAACTGTGACAAAGAGAAAACACCTTTTTGTTACCTGTTCTCTTACTCATAACAGCCTCACTTGGGCTCGAATGCCAGCAAGGAAGTTACAGACAATTCACAGATGTTCAGCCAGGACTCGGACTGTGGCAGGGAAATTCTGCAGCCACACCTCAAAGTATTTTTAGTCCTGGCCTTGGCTACTCAGATGGAGCTTCTTGAAGCTTCCCAGTGCTGCAGGCACTCTTTGCAGAACAGGTTCTGTCTTTTTTTCCAGGTTCTGTCTTTCCTGCTCCACGGTGCAGCTCACTCTGGTGGTTCAGAGCCCCTTCCTCGCGGCCCAGAATCAGCTGAAGGAAATTCATAACAAACAGGTGCTTTTCTGGACAAATAAACCAGGATTTCCTTTCAACCAGCTCAGAATTCGATCAGTATTATTCGATGTAACAGAATGTTTTGAAGCCAAGGACTGTTTTCAAACCACCGACAAAAATATTTGTATTATTTTTTCCTCTGCATCTCATTGCAGCTCTTTTGCTTTTCCTTCCCACCATTTATCTTTCACAACACCAAGCCTTGCCTGTACTTCCTATTTGGCTGCTGGTTGGTAGTTTTCTCATTTGCTGTTATTTTTGACTTCCATCCAAGCTTTGTATGATATTAATAGCTGCTGCACAGAACTGTAATCATCCTCAAACCAGCCCTAATATTAGCAGAAGTAGCCAAGAACTGTTGTCAAGGCCTGAGGGATTTGGGCAGAGAATTTTCTCCTCCATCCTGCCAGTTCTGCCCCAGCCCAGGGAGACAAAACTTCTGCCCAGCACCCAACTCACACAGCCCCATCCTGGCCACCCCAGGCAAGAGAGAGGCAGCTTGGTCGAGCCCAAATGCTCAGAAAGATGCTGAAAGAAGATGCTGATGTGAAGATTCAAGAATTAGATGTTACCCGTTGTCTAATTAATGCTTCTGCCTAATCAAGCTACAGCAATCACTCATTGTTCACCCAGCAGTGCTAACACTAATAGCCAAATTACTCATTTTCTATTAAAGGTTGTCAGCAATAGAAAAAAATAAACAGGGGATAAAAGCATCTACCCTGCTCCTCCAGCAGTAAATTCTCCTCCTTCCTTTCCTGCTGCAGTGACTCATCAGCATCCTGAGGGGGAAATAGTGATGGGTTTTTTCTTCTTAGCTGGGAGGGATGTGATTCTAAGGCTGGTGGTTTCTTCCTTCTCTGTTTAGAGTTTACTTGAGGCTACTTTTAAAAATGTCTTTTCTGCTGTTCTCTCCACTGGAATCTTTCTTGCCAGGGCTGCAATCCCCCGTTACACCCAGACATACCACGTGTCCTGCATTTTACCTGTATTTTTTCTGTCACTTCACTGGTTTCTGTCACCTCCCAAAACCTCAGTGGTTAGCAGTTGCTTCCTGGTGAGCTGGTGATAGTCCTGGGGCCATCTCCAGCTCAGCATCCTGTGCTCTGTCAGCACTTCCTGCTCCTTAGGGAAGGAGTTGGGATTTTCCCCACACCAAACTGTGCAAATGCAATTGCCATCCCCTTTTTGCCGGGCCGTTCTGTGACAGGCAGATGAGAAACTCCAGCAAAACTGACGGGGCAGATTCAGACAAGCCCTGGGGACAAAGTCCTGCAGAGCCACACGGAGCCTTTGGCTCGTCACTGATGATGCCAAAGTGATGCCGTGCTTCCTTTCCGATGGATCCTCCATCACCTAAAAGCTGCACACCAAAGTCCTTTTCAGCAGGGAGAAGGTCTCCAGGGGGGAGTGCAGATCCTGCTGCTCTGACCACAGAGCTCCCTTTCTTGTCTCTTCCATTTTATCAAGGGAAGGTGATAACTTCCAGCTAGGAAGAGAACACTTTCATTTTTGGTTTCAACTCTTCCTGTTTCGTTTCATCCTCGGCAAGTGGTTTCATCTGACTCCACCCAGGAGAAAGCTTCCTTATTTAAAGCCCAGTCTCCAGGTTACAGACTGTTCTGCCCAGGATCTGCTGCTGGCTGGAGGAGGTGCAGCCAAGCCATCGTCCCTCGGCAGTGACATGATGCCCGCAGGAACAATGAGGTGAGTGCACAGCATCCCTTCTTGTCACAGCTGCCACAGCCACAGGGTGTGGGGGGACAAGGCTCAGCATCCTGGCTCAGCACCTCGCTGTGGTTAAGGCTGGAAAGGGCCTCAGAAAGTCACCTTGTCCAAGGCTCTGCTCAAGCAGGGCCAACCCTGACTGCATCCAGACACCTCTGGAGTCTCTCTGAGGGTGGAGACTGTACAACCTGTCCAGGAAAAATGTGCAAGGCCTCTCTTCTGCTCACATTTAATTTTCCTGATGTGCAGATGGAGCTTCCTGGGCTTGTTTGTGCTCTTTTTGCCCTGGCACTGGGCATCACTAAAAAAACCTGGCACTGCTTTGCCTTCAGCTATTTCTACAGCTCTAAGATCCTGCCGAGCCTTCTCTTCTCTGAGCTGAACAGGCTCAGCTCTCTCAGCCTTTCTTCATGGAAGAGAGACTCCAGTCTAACACTCTCCTTACCTTGCTGGGCTCTTTTTTGAGCCACTTCTTCACCCTCCAGCTGAAGATACAATCCCTGCTTCCTCCTCACAGAAGGAGAAACGAGAAAAACCAGTCTTTCTACTCGTGGGTGAGGCTGCTCCACTCTCCCTTTTCTCAGCCCATCCAAGGGCTTTGCCTTAGGTGAGGGAGCAGCCCTGGCTCCAGGCACTGGAACACAATGGAATCACCATTGCTGTTCTCTAATGGGAAGGCTCACAGAG